TCGGCGAGGTCGGAGTCGCCACTAGTCGATGAGCAAGCGGTGGTACACATCCGCGCGTAACGATTAGTGGGCTTTCGAATACACCAGAGCTGTAACGAAATTATAGGCAGGCGAAAAGAAATAGTTACTCAATAAACTTACTTAAGGTTTCCCTTTGGCAAGTTTTTGCAGGCGCCGTTGTCGCCAACGACATGGTGCACTTCTGTCTGGATCGTTTTAAACTAAGAGGAAAGGTCGTTCAGCACATCACGCTACCCTCTGGTGCGTGGGGCAGGTCTTGTTTCGGGCTCGATACTTGGTCGGTAGCTGTAACAGCAATCTCAAGGCGACGATCTGGTCTATACAAGATCGAAAGATAATGGTATCCGCCTCGACATATGTGTCGTGCTTCTTACTTCACAAAAGCACGTGTAAAAGAGTGGTCTAGTCAGCCGTCGGCTTCACTGTAAATCTGTGAGAGGAGGGTAACTGGAAAGTCGCTGCGACCTTTCGCATCGGAGAATCACTCGACGTTTTTACTCGGTAAGCTTTAGGATTGTCAGTCGCAAGGCCCGTACCTTTGGCGGAGGATTGCTAGGCCATGTGATGGTGTGTAAGAGAGATGACCCTCGATATAAAGATGCTTTTAAATGCAGGTACTATAGGAAACAAGACTGAAGCGGAAGACCGTACACCGCGGGTTAGTGACGAACGTTTACTCGTGTGAAATTCCCTGAAACGTAAAGAGCGATGCCAATGTGATCCACATCTTGCCGGGGAAGAGGGCCACGGGGCATGTGCTATGGCTCGTACACCTCATCCTTCCGTATTTTTGTGCATTCAAATAGTGGACGATTGCACAAAATTCAAATTATGCATTATTTGTAAATATTCCGAAGTACCCAACTATTGGTGATGGAATGATAGGACTATGTAGAGGAGTAAATTCCTGGTATATGTGTTCTGATAGCTTGACGTCAAGCAATACCGATACTTATGGAAATCGGATTTATTGAAACGCATATATATAACGGATTTTCCCGATAAGAGTCCGGTCTTCTATTTATTAGTACCGGACTCAAGCCCAAAAAATCCGGATTTTTATCAGAAAAACAGAATATTTTAGTGACAATGTGATAAAAGCGATTTTGGTTTTTGAAGTACGTCACAAACTAAAAAAATACAAAAAAACATTCTTAACAATTCTAGACAAGATACCTCCGACACGGGTTCGCTACCACGTGTTTTAGTCCATGATGGACCGTAGGCGTTGTGCGTGGGAATTAATTACCCGAGGACATGCTGAGGGGTGTTCCAAAACTGTGCTGAAGTGAGACAGTTTTTTATGTTTTTAGGGACTGCTTCCTATTCATCAATCACAACTTCAATTTCATCATGAGCGTTGTCCAGAGCGTCAAGGTTGAAAACATCCGCATCCACACTGCTGTCATCGTCCGTCTTGTAGCTCTCTCGAAACAACGTACCGTACACGTCATGTCGAGCAACAAACCAGTCTTGGTAGTTGTCTGCAAAGCCAGCACCAATGATGGAGTTAACGACAGCGTCTCCATCGGTCTGTGCCCATGCGTTGCAAACCCACGAACACATTGACTTCACTGGTGGCGGCCTGGGATTGCCATATTTGGTGCATCTCACCTGGTCACTCTCCTTCCACGCATTGATTTCAGCATACAATATGTCCTTGAAGTATCGATAGATGCCGATATCACCAGCCTTGGTCACC